TGGTGCATATAAGCCGCCCACAGACAGGCCCTCGGCTGGAGCGATAAGCCACCCACAGACAAGCCGTCAACTGGTGCATATAAGCCGCCCACAGACAGGCCCTCGGCTGGCGCGTATCAACCGCCCACGGACAAGCCGTCAACTGGTGCATATAAGCCGCCCACAGACAGGCCCTCGGCTGGAGCGTATAAGCCGCCCACAGACAAGCCGTCAGGTAACGTATACAGGCCGCCAAACAGAAGCAGCGCTCCTCCGCCAAGCTAAAACTGTTTTTGCGGCGACGGCGTCCGGATTGTCTTTTTTTGTAGTTTGGACCCCAGAACGACCTTGGAATCTGCTGTCGACAACCAATTTTTTAGGGAAGGGCCTGTTAGGATGCTAAACTTGTATAGCTAATAATATTGAGTGCTATGAGAGGGTAGGGGAAGGAGACTCGTGCAACGTACCATCGTCTAAAGTCCCGTGTGAAGGCGGCGGCAGGTGTTAACTTACTTCTCATTTGATGCGTTTTATCAATAACATTGCGCCTTACAAGATGACAACCGTCAGCAGTTGGCGTATGTCATCTCGCGTTGTGAAGATTGGTGTCGCAGTGGCTACAATTCCTCTTCATGTCTTCATTTCCTTTTCGTTGTTGTTTTTTCCCTCCTCTATCCCATTTTTTTTCTTTGTCCTGTCTTTTCTTCCCCCACCCGCCACCCTCTCTGCCACCTTGACTTGCGATGATAAGGCGGGCTCTTAAAGGAACAGTGTGCGTAGCGACCTGCAGTTTTTGTTTTGTGCTTTTTTTTGAGTGCGCACGCAGACAGACGTACTGCCATATATATATATACATAACATATTGCAGATAGACTAACATACATCGCTTAGAGACATTGACAGGGGGGAGTGAAGCTGTGGGGGCATCTGTCGAGGAAGCGAGGGAGGAGGACGAGGAGGAAAGGCGGCGTGTGAAGGTAACAGCGGCAGGGCAGCGAGAAAAAAAAAACACACATAAGGCGGGGGCAGCCATGACTATTCCGTACTGTATCTTTCAAAACAATGATCTCTGCCCGGAAGCCTCGGCAGAACCCGCACATGGCGCACCACCGCCTTTGATTTCTCCGGAACCTCTTCTTCCTTCTGTCGTGCGAGTAACTGCTCGGGCGGGCAGAGCAAACGCCAAGGAGCAGGCTTCGGTGTGCAGCTTCTCTGCATGGAATGAAGAGGAAAAAACGCGCTCTTTGTTTGCGCTCCGCCCATGGATAGAGGGCGGCTCCTCCTCCAGTTTGGGTGCCGCCACGACGCTGCGTTCCCCCGCTGCCTCTACGGTTGGTGTTGGCGGGTTTTGCGAGGACGCGCGCGGGGTTCTTGGCGCGCGCAGCCGGGAGGATTCCTTTACTCTGGATAACGCCCTTGTGGAGACCGTGGTGCGTGGCTCTCTCTGGCAGGCGTGTCGCAGCGGCAGTGGAGGCCGGGACACCAACCAACCGGGTCGAGTAGCGGAAGCGGGCATGCTGGATATGCGACGGCTGCACAGCAGGGTGCACGAACTTCGTCGAGCCCTGCAGCAGCGCCGTGAGGGGTCTGCGTCGGCACCAAAAACGTCTGTCGCAAAGTCACCCGGACTGCGAGACGTCCAAGAGCGCGGAACGGTAAGCGAGGAGGGTGCAACGTTGGACACGAGGCGTGTGTTCGCCATCATGACAGGGTCGGCAGAGAGGGACTCGGTCCAGCATTTCTGTTGTGGCGGCACGGAGCCGTTCCTGGTGGGGCTCGTCTGCCGCGAACCGTCTGGCGGGTCAACGCCACGTGTCGTCTCTGTGCGCCCGTTTGCCACGGCGGGCCTAACGGGCCTTTCCGACGAAAGTGGTGGGGGGTCGGTGAGAGGCAACTTGGGAACAGAGGCCCAGGCGGATGGACCAGAGGAAGCGTCGTTTAGTGTGATGTTAATAGAGGCGGAAATGGGTCGGCTGGACGCGGCGGAGATGCAGCTGTCACCCGTGTGGCAAACGCTATTGTCCGTGGTTGATTTTGTGTACGCTGCCGCGTCTCCCTCCGCCGTTGCCTGCGTCGCCTCCACGATAAATGGCGTGTGCTGCGCAGCCGTGGCAACCCCGGGCGTGAGGCACTTTGGCGTTGGATGTGGCGCCCGGCCAGCGGTGCCTCCTTCCTTTTTTTACAGTGTTGTGGGAGAGGCCCCAGCGAGTATGAAGCAGTACACTGGAAGGACGCACCGCGTTGGCGACCTTCACGCCGTGTTCGTTCAACTGACGCAGACGCAGGAGCTGCGGGCGTCGCCGTGCTGTCGGGGCCCGTTGCAGTGGTCCATGCTCTTGGCGCACACTTGGCGTCTCACCAAGGCTGCGCACGGAGTGGCCGCAGCTTCTCCGTTGCAGCAAAGGATGGACGCTGCCGTCGCTGCAGCTGCCGACATGTTTGTGGCCACCGCGGAAGGCGTACTTTTGGCCATGTACGCCATGGAGCCGCTCCCGCCCTTGTCAGTCCGCGGGGACGCCATCGGCGCGGTGACCGTCCTTCCGCGGGACTTCAGTCTGCAAGACGTGCTGCACACCGCCCATCAAGTGGCGCTCCTGGCCCTTGACACGGATGTTGCTTCTTGCGTGTTTGATAGGTCGCTCACACCGCGGCATGCCGCGCTTGAGGACGCGTACTGCGGTTGCCGCTACCGCACTGCCCGCGACGCGTTGAATCTGGCGTGTCGGTTGGCGTCAGATTCACTGAAGGAGCGCCTGTGCGCGTTCGCGGTCCACGCCGCCGCGCAGGCGCTGCGGCAGACATCTGCGGGGACGGTCTCCGTGCTTAGCCCGGCCGGGGGCGGGGGTGGGGCGGCAGCCGCCTCCCTCTCTGCCGCCATTGAGGACGCCACCCGGTGGATCCACCACTTCCGCACAGCACCGCTCCTTTCCCACTATAGGGCGCAGGACGGCGGCGACGCGAAGCAGGCGACTGTAACAGCGGCAACCGGGGCTGGGTGCAGCCCTCGACGCAGTCTCCCGTGTCGCATGGTGGAGAGTCCCATTATTGCAGCCGCGGTGCCCAACGCCAAGGCCGCTGTCTTGTCGGAGTACGTGGAGCAGGCGCTGCTTCCTGCTCTACTGGGAGCTGCGCGCGAGCGTGAGTCGGTGCTTCGTGCGCAGGAACTCCGTGCGTCGGAGGCGCGAGAGGCTCTACTGCTTGCGGAGGATAACTGCCTGCAGCTTCAGCAGCGATGGAAGCGGGCGGAGGCCCAGCTGGAGCATCAACGTGGAGAACTGCAGGAGGCGAAGCGGCACAGCCGCGTCCTCCATGCACAACTCCATGAGTCCTGCAGTTGTTTGCAGAAGCTGCTGCAGACGTGTGTTGGGTACGAGGAGACGCACGGCCGTTTTATGCGCAGGCTGCGGTTCCAGCTAAGGCGCGGGGTTGCCACGAGCGAAGTCACGCCCGTGTCCGATTTCACGCCGGAGGGCCCACGTCAACGTGAGACGGCGATGGGCGTGGAAGCCCTCGTGCAGACGCCAGCGAAGGATGCCGCCAGTGCACTTGCCGCCGCAAGCATCCGGGAACTGACAGGGTCGTTGGGGATTGAGGGTGATGGAGTTAATAACGACGTTCCAGCAGCAGCCTCTTCACCGTCGCCGCGCGGGCAAGTAGAACTCCTAAACGGATTGCTTCGCGACGCACACCAGCACCTTGAGGCCAGCCACAATGTGTTGCTATGCCTCTACGAAGATGCCCAGGCTGCCCTGCATCAGCTGAACGCCACGAGCGCCGACGGCCGCAGCGGCGGCCGCCGCTACGATTCCTGTCAGTCCCTCCTCTCTGCCTCGCTGCAGGCCGCGCGTACCACGACGCCTGTGCGAAGTTTAGGCCAGTCTGTGAGCGACGCAGCGAGTGAGGCGGTCTCTGCAGGGGCCTGCGAGTGCACGTCGAAGGGGTCGGCTGTCGGAGCGCCTGCGACCCCACGGCATGCGGTGCATCGGGAGGGCAGCGACCAACTGGCGGAGATGAACAACTCTGCCAGGTCGTCGCCATCGCTTGGGTGCGGTGGAATCCGCTGTGCACCGCCCAACACGGATGCCGCCTCGACGGACCAGTTGTCGTTGCCACGGCAGCCGCAGCAGGAGGGGGGCGAGGGAAAAGAGCGACGCCGCAGCACGCCGGTTTCCAGGTGGGCGACGGCGGTGTCGCTTCTTCCCACGCCGGACCGCGGTGTGACCTCCGCCGTGGAGGCCATCGCCGACCTGCAGCGGCAGCGGCAGGGAACTGCGGAGGCCCTTGCCCGGCTAGAGAGGCAGTATGCGGCGGTGACGAGGCAGTTGGATGAACGGGGCGCCGCACTCGTTGAGGCGCAGAGGGAACACGAGGCGGAGGCGGAGCGGTGGGGCGCCGAGCGAGCGGCGCTCCTGCGCCAGCTCCGTGCAGCTGCGGAGGAGGCGCATGCGGCAGAAGAGGCATGCAAGGCGTCTCAGCAGGAGGTGCGGCACTGGGCACAGTCATGGGCGGAATTGATGGCCGCCGCCGAGGCGGAAGCGGAGACGACGACGCTTGCCGGGCAGGCCGCTGCCTGCGCCCCCGTTGTGAGAGATGATGACGATGCCGACGGGGGCAGCAAAACGGGAGAGGATGGAAGGCGTCCTGGCGGGAAACGCGAGACGACGCCAATCTGCGTGACGACCGCAGACGAGGCTCTTGCCGCTGGAAGACTGCGGCTCTGTGCCCTCGTGGAGCGGGTGGCAGCCACCGCGCGCGAGCAGGCCCGCGGGGAGGAGCTGCAGAAGCAGGCCAGTGTCACCGCCACTCTTCGTGCGTCGGAAGAATCGGCGCGGATGGCGGCGGAAGTGACTCGGCTGCAGGAGGCCCTGGCGGCGGCGGCGGCACGAGAAGGGCTGCTACGGCTGGATCGCGATCGGCTTGCGTTGCGGAAGGACGAAACGTGGCGTCGTCTCCACCGCATGGAGGAGGCTTACGTGGCACTGCTTGATGTGTGGGAGGAAGCAATGGTGGGGCGAGGCGCACTGCTGCTGTGGCAGTGTGGTGACATCGTCACGGCTCTCTGTGAGAAAAACGAGGCTTTGAGTGAGCAGCTGAGACAGTCGCAGGCGGAAGTGCAACATCTGGCGGAAACTCTTTGCGGGCAGGCAGGCATCGCTCAGCAGAGAGGGGAGGAGGTGACACGGATGAGAGGGCAGCTGGAGCGCCACCGCGACGCCCAGTCCGCCGCAGAGAAGCACGTTTCACAGCTGCTGCGACGCCTCGACCAGCTGGCCGCGGCGTATGCGATGTCCTGCAGTACATGGGAAGAAGCCATGGCGCGGCGGTGCGAGCTCCTCCTTGAGCCGTGGGAGTGCTGCTTACATTTCGACGCCCCACGACCACGGTGCGAGTCGCCGTCGGGGGAGGTGCCGCTGCCGCAGGAGGCGGAGGCGCATGACCCGTGTGGGCTGCTGCACGAACTGCAACAAAAGCGGCGCCGCATTGCGGCGTTGGAGGAGGCCCTGCGTCAAAGCAAAGTCAGGGGTGAAACGCTGGAGGAGGCGGTGGCTCAGCTGAACGCCCTGCTTGCAGCCCAGCGGGAAATTGGGATGGCGCCGCCGCCGTCGTCCCCGCCGCGCGTCTCGCGGGATTTCGGGGTGTTGACGGCCTCACCCACGGCAGCCACCAACGCGGCTCCCCTGGTGAGCTCCTTCTATGCCTCGCCCAGCCGTGTGGGAGACGCCGGCGGGAGCGACCCGCACCCGTTGCAGGCTCTCCTCGCACGTTCGCCGTCCGCTGCAGAGGAGGCGCCCGCCGTGTCGCTTGCGGAGCTGCAGCCGTTGGGCCCGGCGGGGCGCGTGGAGGATGCCGGGGAGCCGCGGCCGCTGAGTTGGTACCTGCAGTCGCTCTCGGCCATTGAAAGCACACTGTCGCCGTGGCGGGGATGAGGAAGGGGGAGGGAACGAACGCACAAACGCAATCAGAGAGAGCGCGCGCGCGAAGGAAAGAAGGGGTGGTTGCGCCCCGCTGGTTACTCTGCCTCCGCCTTGGCGGCCTGTTATCCGATTTTTGCTTTACCGCTGCGTCTATTTGGTTACTTTTTCATTGTTGCTGCTTTATTTACTTATTTGTTTTTGTTTTTTGCCTTTTTCGTCTGGGGCCGTGGCGACGGGGAGTTGCGTTGCGCCTCGCCATCGAAGGGGGGCGGAGGTCGCGGAAGCCGGAGTGAGAGCGGCGGGCAGCGTTAAAAACAAAAAATTAAAGGAAAAAAAAAGAAGCAGCAGACGGCGCGTTTAGTTGGCGCAGGCGATGAGCCGCGTGCAGTGTGCAAACCCGCTTTTGGCCAAGACGCTTCAGCCGCTCCTTGACGGCCCGAAGTTCGCCGTCGTGTACTGCGGCAACCTGCAGTACAAGGTGTCCGTGGGCGACGTCATCGCGGTGCAGCGGCTGCGGGCGGAGATCGGGAGCCGCATTGCGCTCAAGAAGGTGCTGATGGTCGGGGGGCCGCGCTTCACGGCGGTGGGGCGCCCGCTGCTCACCGACGTTCGCGTGACGGCGGACGTGGAGGAGCAGAAGCGGATGCGCAACGTCGTCTCGCTCTTCGCCACCCCCGGCCGCCGGCAGACGCGGTGGGTGGATGCGCCGCACGCCGCCACAATCCTGCGCATCCGCGAGATTCAGTACGAGCCGCGGGTGGCGGGGGAGCTGGACAAGTACAGCGGCGTGCTGCGCGGCGACTTCGCACCGACGACGCACACAAACCCCGTCTACGCCGCGGACGACGGCCTAGACATCTTTAGGAAGCGGGACACGGAGGCGGTGGAGAACGCTAGCGCCTTCCTGGACCTCATGCAGTAGCTACACACACACACACAGAGAGAGACACACATGCGGTTCGTACGCACAGCGAGCGATGTGCGCGGGTGCGTGTCGGTTATGGACTTGTGCCTTCTGTAGACGACGTCCTCCATGGGAACCGGGCAAAAGCGAGGGGGAGAGAGACGCAATGGCAGAGTTGCTGGGAAGAGGGGAGGGGAAGGGGGGGTCAAGTGTATTTCTCGCTCTTGCCTTCTCTATCTCTCTGTGTGTATGTGTGCGCTGCTGCGCACTCCAGGGCGCGTGCTAGCGTCTGTGCGCCGCGTGTGTCTGCCGCCTCTCACTCCCTCCTCTTCTCCACCTGCTCCTTGTTGCTGGTCTATGTGCGTGCTCTGCCGGCCGAAGTGTTCCCTGTTGGATAGGGGGAGGGAGGATGGCGGTCCACCTCACCCCGCTGAAGCGCAGTCAGCTGCTCGACTTGGGCAGGCTGCTGGAGTCGGCGCTGCACTCCGCCTGCTCCTCCCCGCTAGGCTCCTCCTGTGGGGCGCAGTTGAGCGGCGCCCCCGAGCACCCGTTTGCGCGTGGGGCGTTTTGTGACGTCTTCGAGGACCCCTCCACGCGACAGGCGTGGCGCCTCCACGACAAGATGCTCTACCTAGTGTGGTGGTCGTACCGCCCGCCGTGCTGCACGGAGTGCGGGATGCAGGACGCCTGGGTGCCCTCCGCCGACAGCGAGATGAAGTGCTGGCACTGCGGCAGCGGGGCGGGCACGAGCTTCGTGAAGGACGTCGTCGAGGACCTCCCGGCGCCGGAAACCGACGACGGCGACGACGACGGCGACAGCGACGAGGGCGAGTTGGCCGGCGAAGGCGGCGCCGCGGCCGCGGGTGGTGGTGGCGGTGGTGGCCTCAGCGGCGGCGGTCCGGTCGCGTCCTACATGTTTTTCTACGAGTGGCTCTCCCGCATGCAGCTGATGGAGCGCGGGAGGGAGGTGGTGCTTCCCAGCGGGGAGAGCCTCGCCGCCGTCCTGCGCGCCGCGTACGACCTGGCGCTGCTGTTTGTCGTGCCTGGGCTACCGACCACCGGCGCCGCCGTGATGCAGGGCGGGGCGCTGTACCTCAGCCTCGTGCTGCATCGCTTTCCCGCGCCGTTTCCCCTGTTTCGCTTAGCAGGCCGCGGCGGCGCGGCGGACCGGTCCCAGGGCCCGCCTGCCGCCGGCCCCACGGCGCTGCCGACAACGGCCGGGGCGGAGCCGCAGGAGGAGTTGCAGTGGGTCGACGTGGAGCTGCTCGCCGCCCTCATCGGGGTCGCACTGTCCGACTTTTTTGAATCCGCGCAGGTGGCTGTGCAGTACTTGCAGAATGTCATGACGGTGGCGGCGGCCTTTGCGGTGCCGAGCGTACTCTGGCACCCGCAGCGCGTGAAAGGCAGAGCCGAGCACATGATGGCGCTGCGACAGAAGCGGAAGTGTGCCTTCCCGCTTCACTCCACGGCGGTGTCGAGCGGCCTTTCCCCGGAGCACACGGCGATGATTGTGGCGCTGGAGCTCGCCCGCGCGTTTGATGCCCAGCCTTGTGGCTCCGTCGAGCACAGCGACCGCGTCGGGGCGTGGCTGGATCACCACGGCTTGTACCCGCAGCGCTGCGTCTACCGCAGCCGGCCCTGTTCTAGGCAGAAGCATAATAGTAATGATAGTGAGGAGAGTAATAGCCACGCCCAGCAGTCGCTGGGGAATGGGGCAGCGCCCGCGCTGGCCGCCGTCGAGGACACGGCATGGTGGGCGTCACCGATCACCACCGACGCCTCCCCCTTCGCTGCGGGCATGCAGGTTGTATTGCTGTCGCCGTGTGCAAATGCTCTGCTGCACATGTTTGCGCGCGCCTTTTCCATGTCGCCGCTGGAGTTGGCGGACGTGGCGGTGGGCAGTGGGCTCTACCAGGGACCCACGCGCTTCTTTGACACCTTGCGGCAGGCGGCACAGGCGGGGAACTACACACTCATGCCGCTCTTCCGGCGCCTCTCGCCTGTCACGTCGGTCTGGACAAGCGCCTACTTCGCGCTGCACTCCGAGGACCGACTCCCCCTTTTGGCGGCCCTGCAACACATCCGCGCCGCGGCGACGCGTGAGAAGGAGACGCCAGTGGCGCGCATGGTGCAGCGCATCCTGCGCAAGCACCAGGCGTCGCGGCAGTACCAGTTTAACTACTCTATACGCGTCACGGACGACTCCGAGCGGCATCCGTTCAAGGGGGTGTACTTTCTTAGCTGCCTGACGGAGCGCTTTGCCGTCTACACCGGCGTCCGCTCGGCGCGCAAGACGGTGACCTTCGACGCGGCGACGGGAAAAATCACCCTCTGCGTCATCGGCGCGCGGGAGCAGCAGGTGGCGGCGCTTGACGTGGAGTTCAACGGTCCCATCGTGGCTCACATCGAGACGGAGAGTGCGAAGTGCGTCATCGACTGCGTGCGCCAGTCGCTCAGCGCGGAGGGCTGGCAGGCGACGGTGCGCCACTTGGACCGCTGCGGCCGGGTGCGGCGGCGCATGCGGGTTCCGATGCTTGCCTCCCGCCTCGACGCGTTGGCCTCGGTGCGGGAGGCGACCGCGATGGCGTCGCACCCGATTGCAGGCAACGCCACGCTGCTTGGGTGGGGCGAGACGGAGGTGCTCTTCACGTCTTTGCCACCCGCCAACAACGCCGCCTACGCCGCGGGACTCCGGCGGGGGCTGCAGCTGAATCTTCTTTCCCTGCCCAAGCCTTCGCTTGTCTTTGGCATCTCCGAGAACCGCGTGATTGCCATGTACGCCTCACTTGTGGCGCTGCTGGAGGGCATTGAGCAGCGGCTTTCGCAGGCAAGCGCCGGGGCCGCCTCGACGTGGGTGGATGTCTTGCTGAGCGAAGAAGACTGCGAGGCGGAGGCGGCCCCGGCGGGCGGAGACCGTCGGCCCCGGGACTCGCCGCCCTCGCACGGGAATGGCGGCAGCGGGGCTCTGGATAGCGCCCCGCTCCTCCCTGCCTCTACCGCGGCCGTGGAGCAGCTGCTGCAGCCCGGGGCCTCGAGGCAGGCCCCGCCGCGCAGTCGAGAGACGAGGTCGCTTCCGACGTACCAGGAGGTGCTGTTGGGGCTTGCCGGGCCCCAGTGGGGCGGCGGCCGTGCGGTCTCGGGCTGCCGCGTGCGCCCGACATCGCAGCGTGAGCGGCAGCAGCGGCGTGGAGGTCAGCTGCAGCTGCAGCGGCAACAATCCCAACGGTTTCGCGGGGATGCGGGCGGTGATGGCGTGAGCCACGCTGCAGCGGCGGCGTCAACGAGTCGGGGCTGTTCCTCCTTTAACCTCTTCAGTGCGGAGGAGTGTCGAAGGCGCCTATACCGCCTGCTTGAGTTCGTTGCCGCGTACACGGCGCAGCGGCAAAAGCGTGAGCGGCCCAACCCCGCCGCCCACGCCGAAGCGGCGACAGGGGCGGGCGACGGGGCGGCGGGCGAGACGCCCCGCCCCGCTGATGCGGTGGCCGCCGCGCGGGGGGAACCGCCGTCGACGCCGCGTGAGCGGCCAACACCGAAGCACAACACACCGCCCTCCCGGAACGGTGCGACGCCGTCGTTGAGGCCGAAGTCGTCGCCGCACCACGGCCCCTCCCCCGCGGCGAGGCCGATCTCCTCTTCGCCCTTGCCGGAGTCGTCGCAGCCGCAGCGCCGCCAGCGCCGCGCACGCGCTGAGGCTGGCGAGGGCGGCGAGGACAGGGAGACGGGCGGCCGCAGCCCCCTCGCCCCTGCCGCGGCGCACGGCGGCGACGACAGCGCACCGCGCCCGCGAAAGCGCGGCCGCCCAGACAACGAGGGGGAGGAGGATGAGGCGCCGTCGCCATCCTCCTCCCCCTCGAGCAGCGGCAGCGCCGCCTCCTCGTGGACGGACGGCAGCGTGGAGCGACGGCCGCAGCGGCGGCGACGGCGGCAACAACACCAACAACGACGTCGCCGAAACGTGTAGAGCGCAGCTTCTTTTGCGCTGGCGTCTTTGCCGTGTTTCCTTTGTGCGTGGGTGTGTGTGCGCGGGTCGTTGTTGCGCCGCCACACACGAGTGCGTTTGCTTGAGCGACGGGCGGGAGGAGGTGTGCGGCCGACAAACAGATAACCGACGTGCGTGAAGAAGCAAAAAGAATAAAGATGAAAATAAAAGAGAGGGAGAAAGAACCGGACTCGCGTGTTGAGTTCAGAGAGCGGCGAGAAAGTGAGCGGGAGCAAAGACATGTTAATGCGCCGCCATGCATGCGGGCGGATGTCTGCAGAGGCTGTCCGTGGGAGGGGGAGTAGCCCATTTTTTTCGCCGCGGCCCCTCACGCTCTCTCTGCCCCTTCGCTGTACCGCACCCGCACGCTTCAGCGGCGCAGCGGCAGGTGGGAAAAGACGTCGTCGCAGAATAGTAAGCAACGAAGTAAAGAAAAAGAGAGAGAGGGAAATTTTTTTTGAAACACACACACACACGCACGCACGCGTTCTACTCGTTGTTAATGGTCTCGTGGAAAAGGAAGTGTGCGGCCGGGCGGGGCCGGCTGAGTGCGGCGGCGTTGTGGTCTGCCTGCGGTGGGTCGCCCTGCCGCTTGGCCGGCGCGTCGGGACGAGCGAGCCGGCGGCGGCGATGATTGCCCGGTTTGTTCTAAAAACACCGACATGAATTTGCCTGTTTACTTCTCTCTCTCTCTCTCTCTCTCTCTCTCTTTCTCTCTCTCTATTTCTCGGCCACAAGTAAGCTGCACACTCGCATTGGGGACCGACCAGCGCGGTGGGCCAAACTCTCTCGCTCTCTTTCCTTTCTCCGTTCTCCGTTCTCCTCCCTCTCTCTCGCCGGGAAGAAAGGAGCAAGGCCTCGTCCAAGCGCAACATTCCGGTGGTAAATTTAGAAGAAGAAAATAAGTTAAGCTAAAAAAAAAACGTGCGTCTGCGTGTTTGAGTTGAGTGGGAACTGGAGCAGAGCACGAAGGCAGAAGGAGCGAGGGGAGGGGTGTGTGTGGTGGGAGGGGGGGAGCGGTGAAGCAGGGAGGTAGACCTCAAGGCGAGGAGTGCGGGGAGTGGGGTGTCCAGCGACCGGGCTGTTAGAACTGGGGGCAGGTGCCCATAGCCGCCATCGGCTGTGCAGCCCACAATACAACTGAGAGAGAAAAAAAAAAAACGAAGGCGAAAGCGAAATAAAATAATAATAAAAGAAAAAACGTCAACAGTTTGACGGAAAACTACATAGAAGCAGGAAACAGGCACTCGAAGAAAAAAAAGATATGGACTTAGTAGTAAATCAGATGCGGTGGCTCCGCGATTTGCCCAGTAACTTTAAGGGAGACGTCGCCACCGCCGTATTTGACGACTCCATCGACGTTCTCGTCTACGCATGTGTGTTATACATCCTGCTCGTGTTTGTCGTCCCCGAACACGTCATGAAGAACCGTGAGCCCTTCAACCTGCGAGTGCCCTTTGTTATCTGGAATCTTGCGCTCTGCCTCTTTTCTGTGTGCGGCGCTGTATCGTGTATTAAGAACATGACCCTCCTCCACCTGGATCGCGGGTTCTACAAGACCACCTGCTTTTTCGACAAAAATGTCGTCTTTGACGGGGAATTCGCGTTCTGGGTTTTTTACTTTATTCTTTCCAAAATTCCGGAGATGCTTGACACCGCCTTCCTCGTCTTTCAGAAGAAGCCGGTGATATTTTTGCATTGGTATCATCACCTCACTGTCGCCATCTTCTGCTGGCACGCCGGCCACGCGCTAATTCCCAGCGGGCTGTGGTTTGCCACGATGAACTACTGCGTGCACTCCATCATGTACTTCTACTACTTTATGTGTGCCTGTAGGCTGCGCAGAGTGATCCGCCCCATTGCTCCATTCATCACGATGCTGCAGCTCCTCCAGATGGTGGCGGGGACGCTCATTGTGGGGTACACCGCCTACCACTCGTACCTGAGCGGGTACGGGTGCGCGGTGAACCGCACAAGCATTCGTCTCGGCCTTGTGATGTACGCCAGCTACTTTGTCCTTTTCGCCGTGCTGTTTGGGAGGCTGTACCTGTGCAAGCCGGGCAAGTCGGCTGGTGCCGCTGCCCACGCAACGGAAAAGCGACGCAATGGAAAGAAGGTAGAGTAGCGGTGAGCCAATTGCAGCTGGCGGTGGCGGTGGGGATTGGGAACCTGTGGGTGGAAAAAGCAGGTTTGTTTGTTTGCTTGCTTAACTGCTAGTTGGTCGTTATTCATGCGTCATGAATAACAAAAGGGGTTATGGGGTGGGTGCTGTCCTCTCGCCCCTCCTTCTCTTGTTGTATGTACTTTTGTCACGTCCTCTCACTCCCTGCAGAATTGCTGAGTGGTGGTGGTAGTGGTGGGGGGTTACGGCGAAGCGTAACGAGCGCCGGACGCTTGAGGAAAAGTGGGGCTTCGACGGCAGGGGAGGCGAAGGAGGCGGCGAGGGTGGGAGCAGGAACCGAATGGATACTTCGGCGTTGTTTGTTTGTTTGTTTGTTTTTGTTTTTGTCTTTTTTTCTTTGACTTTTTTTTCTTTGACTTTTTTTTCGTTTTCTGTTTTGAGCACAGAGCGAGTGATGGTTCTTGCGCTTTCTTCTTACTTCCGCCGAGAATAACAGAAATTGATGTGTAAAGTGAAAAAAAAAAAAAGTGAGAGGGGGGAGGGGAAGAGCGAGGCGCGTGCAACGTGTGTGTGTGTGTGTGTGTGTGTGTGTGGGTGGGTGGGTGGGTGGAGTAAGAGGGAAGGGGGAGTGAGGAATTGGGGTGTGCTGCCGGTGACGTGTTCCGACGCCACCAGCTCGCACGCGCGCACACACACGCTGCCCCGCCTTTGCCTGCCGGGGCGGTATGGGACACATGCACGGCTCGCGGTGGTTGGCTTGAGCCGGCCGTGCGACCCATACCACCCACGCGTGGGCTGTAGAGAAGAGAGAAGGCCTCCATTATTGCCACCTGCAATGCGAATTTATCAAGCAATGGGCTTAGCTTACGTTTGTGGCCCGCGGTTGCTGTGGTGACGCATGGTTGACTTAGCCCCTGACCACCTACACACACACACACACTCCCTCCCTCCTCTCTCTCTCTCTCTCTGTGTGTGTGTGTGTGCCCACCTTAGCGTCGCTGCCTCTCTTCCTTTTCCTTTTCCTTTTTGGGCGTTAGCCGATAGGTGTGTCACGGCCCCCAGGCCCCACAGCCGTGGCCAGCACAGCGCGATTTAGCGACATGCGGCTGCGTGGGACCGCGGCGCGTGTGTGCCCGTGAATTCTCCTGGAATGCTGCGCGGCGCTTCCTTGGGCGTCCCCCGCGGCGGGGGGAGTAGCCACCTCATGTCATCCTCTGCGCCGCGGCTTCCACGGAACGCTGGAGTTTGCCATGGCGTGCTTCGTGTGCGCCGGGACCACAGGGCGCTCGCCGGCGCCCCTTTGTTTTTCCCCCGCGCCGCAGGGGAAAAAACTCGATGTTGGTGGGGGGGGTCACAGCGCATCTTCGGCTGCAGTGCTTTCTGGCCCCGGCAGCCCCTGGACACGTGGCTCTGCCGAGGAGCGGCATGCCCGCTTGCTTGCTGGCCACTTCCCCTCACTCTTGCCTCTCTCCCCCTTTGGCTTTTGCGTCCTTCTGCGTGCGTCCTTGATGTAGGTGCGTCCATGCAGCGATATTATCCGCCTTTGCTGATGCCTTTCTGCGGCTGCATCTGCCTCCTCCTCCCCCTTCTTCTACCCGCCACTCCTCCGTTGCTTGCGCCACGCCACGCCTCGCCCCGCCCGCACTCTCCGCAAGGCGGGAAGAAAAAAAAAAGAAAACGCCCACGCACACGGGTTTGGGAAGGAGAGCAAAGCACAGGAGGATACAGCATCTATATATTCCTAGTTTGTTTGTACCGTCGCCGGTCTTCCTCTGCGCTGGAGTATAGAAGCAAAGCGAAAGAAAAATAAAAATAAAAAATTAAATAAATAAATTAAAAAAATAACGAAAAAAAAAACGAAACCTTCATTCCTTCACGCGGGAAGCGGATTCATTCAAGCACGCCTGATACACGGAGGACGGCGTTTGTGTGTTTCTGAGTGAGTGGCTGTGTGTGGCCGATGGCCGACGTGTTCGTGTGGATGTGCGCCCGGCGCGCGGAAGAGTTCCGTGGCGAGGAACTACGGAGCTGGATGCGGGAGCACACGGATGTGCCCGTCCTCGCGGTGGTCTTTTACCTCGCCCTTGTGCTCTACGTGCCTGAGCACGTCATGGCGCACCGGCGGCCGTTGAACCTGCGGTTTCTGAACATACTGTGGAACCTGCTGCTCACGGTGTTCTCCATCTGCGGGGCGTACTACTGCGTGCCGCGGCTGCTCGAGCTGGTCGCCTCCCCGCGCATCAGTGGGCTGGCGTCTACCCCCGCACCGGGCCCTGGCGCCGCCACGACGAAGTTACACGGCAGTTTGTACAACTCCGCCTGCGCGTGGAATGACAAAATTTTTTTTGATGGAACTGTGGGACTGTGGGTAGGCGCCTTTATTCTTTCCAAAATTCCGGAGATGCTTGACACCGCCTTCCTCGTCTTTCAGAAGAAGCCGGTGATATTTTTGCATTGGTATCACCATGCCACGGTGATGCTTTTCTGCTGGCACGCGTACGCGTACACCATTTCCAGCGGGCTGTGGTTTGCCACGATGAACTACTGCGTGCACTCCATCATGTACTTCTACTACTTTATGTGTGCCTGTAGGCTGCGCAGAGTGATCCGCCCCATTGCTCCATTCATCACGATGCTGCAGATACTCCAGATGGTGGTGGGGACGCTCATTGTGGGGTACACCGCCTACCACTCGTACCTGAGCGGGTACGGCTGCGCGGCGAACCGCACAAGCATTCGTCTCGGCCTTCTGATGTACCTCAGCTACTTTGTCCTCTTTTCGCAGCTGTACCACCGAAGCTACATCAAACCCCCGGCGAAGTCCGCGCCGAAGATGTCTAACGGAGAGAAAAAAAGCAACTAATAAAAACAGGAGGATGTGTAAGCGTAGTGGAGGCAAAACAGAAAACAAAGACAACAAAAAAAAATGAAGAGGAAAGAATCGGCAGAAATGTGAAAATAATAGGTGGGCGGTGCTGGCAAAGAATGTGCCGCGTAGCTCAATTCTGCGCTGTTTGCTGCTTTTACTGGGTCAAAAATACATTTCTTAGTTTGTCGTATATAAGTATATGTATGTGTGTGGGAGAGAGAGAGAGAGAGTATGTGTATGTGAAGGACGGGGCGGCAGTGGGCCGCTGTACGGTGCATAATGCGCAGCGTCCCTTGTATCGATGTTTTTTTTTATTAGGGAATCGCTGTCAACACGGCGTGCGCGGTGGTGGGGGTGGGGGGGTTCGCAGCAGTGACGCGGCGTGTGAGAGCGACGACGACGACGGCGGCGAAGACAGGCGGAGGAAGGACGGGCACGGCGTTGCTTTGCTGGGCCCCGGGCCAATGTGCGGAGGTGTGCCTCTCTGCGTCCGCCACGGACGCGTCGACCGGCAATCGGGGGGGGCGGAGAACCGGCGGCGGTGTGTGCGTGGGCGCAGAGACGAGGCGGCGGGCGGGCGGGAATTCGCGGCGACGGATGCCCCGATGGCCTCCCCCTGTCGCGCCACTTTTGCGCATGTGCCTCGGTGAGGCCACCGCTGCTGCTGCTGCTGCCGCCGCCGTGTGGTTTACTGCGTGTCGCTCGTCACTCGCGGCACGCACACACGCGCGTGGGTGTGGCACCCGCACGCCCCTCGTCCCCTCCTCCGCCTCTTTTCTGGCCGCTGTTGCTGCCGATTATTTCACGCCGGCCCACACGCGTGCCTGCCTTCATGGGGCACCACCACACCGCCGTGAGGGTGGCGGGAGGAACACGCACAACCCGCCCCGCGCCCTTTTTTTTTTTTGAACTGAACGGTAAGGAAGTGAATGAGCGAATTTGTTAAGAATACTTTTCTTTTTTTTACAAAAAAAAGCGAGAAAAGATGTAATAGAAGCAGCGGCTTTCTTAGAAACCAGCAAGGCATTGAACGGACTTTCTGGTGCTGGGGCGGGAGGGGAATAGGCAACGGGGAGGTAGTAACACGTGTATATTTCATTAACTCGACCTGCGCTGGTGCGATGATTTTGTTGTAATTGTGTTGTGCTTAACTTCGCCCCCGCTCCTGCCTTGTTGCGGGGGGGGCCTGTGCAATGGTTTTTTTTTGTGGATTTTATTCTTATTCGTGAGTTCGGGGCGCAGTGCGGTGGCGAGGGAGGACGATGCCGACTCCGCTCTTTCTCACTTTCTCTTGCTGGCCAGCAGGTCACACGCGTGGGAGCCAAGTGGAGGAGGGTGTGGTTCCTGCGGCGAGTAGTGCCTGGGGAGGGAGCGGAGGGAAGCAGAGGAAGGAGCCGCCGTCGCGGGGAAAGAAACGACGCCAAGGAACTTATTGGCTCAGACAGGCATATGTTTTGTTTTTGTTTTTGTTTTTGTTTTCTTCTCCGCAGATTACTTCTCTTTCGTCACTTTCCCCTCCCCGCCCCCCCTCACTTTTTGTTTTGTTTTCTTTTCTTTTCTTTTTCGTTTGTTTATATCTATATAAATACCGATATATATCTTATCAGTGCGTCGGGGTACGGCCGTGTCGCTGGTGGGGGGGGGGGGTGCTGCACGTCACTATGGCCTCTCACACCGCCTCTTTGTGCCCCGACCACTTTTATTTGCATATCTGCCTGTGCGTGTACGTGTGTGTGTGCGCGTGCACCGCCGAGCGCGTGCTCAGGCATGCCTCCTCCCTCCCTCCCTCCCTCCCCTCTCTTTGTGGGTTTTCTCGGCCGCCGCAGAAAAAGGCGCACGCGAGTGTTTGTCGGTGTTTCAAGGCGTGCCGTGACTCATTCCGTGTCGTGTTGTTGGTTTTTTTTCTCTTCCCTTCTTCTTTTTTTGTGTGTGTGCGGGGGAGCTGCGTGTGCGTCGTGGGGTGACCCAAAGCGGAAGGACGAAAAGAGTAAGAGGAAGATAGTGGAGTGTGCGTGCAGGCATTCATTTAGACATTTTTTCCACACTCCACTTCGCGAGAGACGACGACAAGAAGAATGTTCCCGTACGTGCAGGACTACGACGGCTACGCCGTTAGGAAGTGGATGCTAGACAACGTCGACGTGCTTGGCTACCTCAGTCTCGGCTACCTGGCGCTGGTGTGGAAGGGGCCTGCCGTGGCGAAGCGCCTGAACGGGGCGAGCAACCGGGTGAGCAACTCCGAGGCCCTCCGCTACGTCATCATTGTGTGGAACCTCCTGCTCTCCAGCTTCTCCTTCCTCGGCATGGCCGTCGTGGTGCCGGCGCTGCTGCGGCGCATCTACACCCAAGGCGTGCTGCGGGCGATTTGTGACGAGAACGACGCAATGCTGTACAGCTCCCCTGTGGGGTTCTGGATCGGCATGTTTGTGCTGTCGAAGATTCCTGAGCTGGTCGACACCACGCTGCTGGTGCTGCAGGGCAAGGTCCCGCCCTTTCTGCACTGGTACCACCACGTCACGGTGATGATCTTTTCGTGGCACACGTACTGCGACCATATCAGCACCATGATCGTCTTCGCCGCGATGAACCTGACGGTGCACGCCATCATGTACCTCTACTTCGCCATGTGTGCCTGTGGCTTCAAGAAGACGATGCGACGGTTCGCGCCGTTCATCACGATGCTGCAGATTGCGCAGATGGTGGTGGGGACCGTGGTGACGGTGTACTCGGCGTACGCGGTGTACGCGGCCCCGGCGGGGGCGGCGCGGGGCTGCCACGTCTCCAAGTCCAACGCTCGGATGGGCGTGCTCATGTACCTCAGCTACCTCTACCTCTTCTCCGTCATGTTTGCCAACGCCTACCTGCGGCCAAAGCGGCCGGCGACTTCCACCCACGCCTCCGCGGGGAAGAACGAGTGACGGGGAGGAGGAAGATATCGTTTTTTTTTCTTTCTTTTCTTAAGGCTCGCGTCACCCCAGGGCTAGGGAGGAAGCGGCAGTCTTCTATTTTTTATTTGCGTGTGCGTGGCCGTGTCTTTATTTTTTTTTGTGTGTGTGTCGTTCAAGCCGCTGCTGGCGCGTGTGTGTGTGTGGCGTGTTTGCTGGCGCTGCGGCGGGAGCGGAGGGGCGATCGGGCACGTTCTACGACCGCCCCTCCCCCCTCCCCCTTCGGCGTGCGCCGCGGGACGGAGCAGGAGGAGGCTCCCAAAACCCCGCGAGACGAAAAAGAAAAAGATTATAATCATCATCATCATGCGACGCCCAGACGGCGTCGTCGAAGCATCCGCCGTCAGCACGAGGCATCGCCGGCGCTACACACACACACATACACACACACACGCATATGTGTGTGGAATATAAGTGCGTAGAGAACTTTAAAAAGAAAACAGCGGTGAGAGCGGTATTGGCTTAGGTATAACTCCGCGCGTGTCTATTTATTGGAGTGGTGTGTAGTGCTAATCTGCCTCTGGCGCACTGTCACCCGCGTCCAACTCAGCTCGCGTGGGCGAGGTACAACATGCACCTCCGTCTGCACGAGCGTGGGCGCACAGCGGCGGGGGAGGAAGCGAAAGCAGGTGCCTTGTAACGCGGCCGCTGAGGGCAGTGATCTTCCCCCTGTTTATTTATTTATTTATTTATGTTTTTTGTTACTTCTTGTTTCTTGAGAGCGGAGTGAACTATGAAGGCGTGCCCACGTGTGTGTGTGTGTGACACAGTGAGAGTGATAGGAGGAGGAAAGGGAGATGCTCTGCGGGGGCCTGCTTTTGGCTCTCTGTTCTTGTTGTTGTTGTTGTTGTTGTTTTCTTTTTACTACTAAACGTGCGCGGGTGTCGGCAGGTGCGACTTCCGTTACATTTGCTGCCTTGGCGCGCGTTACGCGTCGGCGCCGCGCACCTCGTCCCACCCCAACCCTCACCCACGTTTTCTGAAGCAGCAGCAGCAGCAGCGGCAGATCCTCCACACAAAAAAAAGGGGAAGGGTATTTATAACACACACGCACACAGAGAGAGACAGACGGTCGCAGCGCGCACATACAACCCGCCCAGGCAGATGGAGTTCGTGCAAGCCTGGGATGGCCACGCCGTCCGCAGGTGGATGATTGAGAACGTGGACGTGGTGGGCTACATTTGTGGCTGCTACCTCACCCTGGTGTTCGCGGGGCCGAAACTCTTCGCGAGGCTCAATGGCGGCGGTGGGGCGGCCGCGGCGGCTCCCGCGAGGCGGAGCGAGGACGGCTCGGGCTCCCCAGCCGTGCGTCGTGCCATGGTGCTGTGGAACTTGGGCCTCTCCGTCTTCTCCATCTTTGGCACCAGCACCGTCACGCCCACCCTCGTCCGCAACATTGTGGGCAAGGGCTTCTACGAGGCCACCTGCACCTTCAACGAGAAGGAATTCTACACGACGGAGGTGGGGTTCTGGATGGGCGTCTTTGCCCTCTCGAAGGTTCCTGAGCTGATGGACACCGTCTTTTTGGTGCTGCAAGGAAAGCCTTCCATGCCGTTCCTGCACTGGTACCACCACGTCACGGTGTTGCTCTTCTCGTGGCACACGTACTGCGTTGGCAGCTCTGGGTATATTTGGGTGGCGGCGATGAACTACAGCGTGCACTCCGTCATGTACCTCTACTTCGCCATTGCGGCGATGGGCTACAAGCGCCTTGTGCGCCCCTTGGCGCCGTACATCACCCTGATGCAAATATTGCAGATGGTCATGGGCTGCTTTGTCACCCTGTACGCGATGAAGGCGAGCTACGAGGGCCGCGGCTGCGGCATGACGTGGTCGAACATGCGCATCCAGCTGCTGATGTACGCCAGCTACCTCTACCTCTTCTCGGGGATGTTTGTGAGGGCGCACGTGCTTCCGCGGCCGCAGCCGGCGGCGGCCAACGGCTCCATGAAAAAGTCAGTCTGAGGCGCACATGGCTGGAGCGGAGACCCGCATTTACGCCTCGACTATTGCTGGAGTTCTGAAAAAAGAAAAGAAAGAAAGTAAAAATTATATTATTGTTTTTTTTTCCTCGTTAGCTTTTTTATTGTTCTTGTTGTTAATAGCATCAATAGTGGACCGTCTATTTCCTCTGCGGAAAAGAGGCGTGGTAACTCGTGTGATTTCTTATCGTTTGCCTCTGTGTGGGTGTGGGTGTGTTTCTGCGTGCTCGCTCCCTTCCTCCCCCCGCCCCACGCACGCACGCATCCTGCTTTCTTCCACGCCCTGCTTTAGCCGGGCGGATGGAAGGAGGAGAGGGTGGCCTCTGAGAAGAAGAGGGGAGAGAAAGAGAGGGGGTAACCTGCACGGAGGTGTAAAGGGGGAAAAAGAAGCGACGGGGAACGGGGTGGTGGCCACACGATGGAAGCTGCTCACAGTTTCCGTGTCGCATATATGTGTAGCAACGCAAGTGACGCTGATGTCTTTTTGCTGTTGACGCCGTTTGTTTGTTTTTTTTGTGTGTGTTGTTTTTTTAATTTCCACTTTTGGGCGCGGGTGTTATTATTTTACGTGTTTCATTTTAGCGGGTTGTGTGTGTGTGTTTCTTTCTTTCTTTCCTTCTTTCTTGCTTCTTCTGCTCCCTTTCTGTTCTTGCTGTTTGTGCCCTCGCGCCTCACCGTCTGTTTGGTTGCTGGGCTTGCCTCTTGTCGCTTCGGCGGGGCGGTGGGGCCGCGTGGTTTTTCTGCCGGCCCGCAGACTCTTTGCCGCCTCTTCTTGTTGTTTGTGCGCCCGCGGGCCGAGGGGGCGGGGGAGAAAAAGGGAGGAAAGGGAGAAGCGCGGCGGCGATGATTTTCCTCGGCGAGCTGGTCTGCGAGGGGTGCCGGAAGATCATCACCTACCCGCTGGGCGCCATCAGCTGCCGCTGCCGCAACTGCAACACCGTCAACGCGGCGCAGAACATGCACCTCGAGTGCGGCTGCTGCGGCCAGTCGATCCTCGTGCCCATCAACACCCTCACGTTTCTCTGCCCCTGCTGCGCCAGCGTGACGGACATCCCGCAGTCCCTCCTGCCGCATCTCGAGGAGCCGGTCGAGTCGGGCCCGCGCGGGGACCAGGCCCGCAAGACAATCTACGTCACCTACCCGCAGTCCTGCGCGGGGAAGGAGCAGAAGAAGGCGGCGCTGGAGGAACAGGAGGGGGAGGCGAGGGCGAGGACGGGGCGCCAAAAAACCCGCGAAGAGGAGGAGGCGACGGCTGTGGCTGAGGAGGAAGAGACGTCGGCGAACGAGGAGGAGGAGGAGGATCCACAGCAGCAGCAGCAGCAGCGGCGGCGGCGGCGGCGGCAACGGGAGCAGCCAGCCGTAGTGTTGGTAGGGACGCGAATACTTTGAGCGTGTGTGGCTATTTTTCCTATCCCTCTTGTGTGTGTGTGTGTGTGTTTTGCCCATAGTCCGTTTATGTGCGATGCGTCGCCAGTCTGCACGTCACTTTTTGCACTCCGCCTGCTGCGGATGCGGTGGCCCGGCGACGCCACCGAACTGCAAACCTCGGCCCATAATATACATATATTCTGTGAATATACGTGCGGATGCGTGTTGTTTGCTTCTGGGATTTTACGCATGACCCGATTGCGCGAGCATGAAGCCTCTTTTTATGTTTGTTTCTTTGAGCTTCCCTTTTTTTCTCTTTTCCTCCTCTCCCAACTCACTCGCATGCATACTTTTCCCACACGCCTTGATCGACGCGCCCTCTGCATGCGTCCCGAATGTAATATCTGCATATGATTGCACCTTTAGGGGCTGTTTTTCTTTTTTCCTTCTTGACGGGCAATCGTCGTGGATATGCGTGTCTTGTTTGTTCCATCCCTCCTTTTTTTGTTGTGTTTTGTTTTTTTTTTCCTCTTCGCCTACTTTGTTGTGCTCGTGTATTATTACTTGCCTTCGTCGCATTTTCGTGGGTCACGCCACCGCTTTGCGTACGTGTGTGTGTGAGAGAAAGCGAGAGAGTGCGTGTGCACGTTTGGGTCGTTGGGAGTAGGAATTGCTCCTGCTCCGCAGTGTGCGTTGCGGGCAAACAGAGCTGCCTCTCTCCCTTTCTCCCTCTGACTGGGGCGGGTGCATTCGCCGCGGCGGGTGACGGGAGATGGCGCGGGCGGCAGACATTGACCGGCTGGTGGATCACTACTTGGGCCTCCCCGCGGCGCCCACGCAGCGCCCCATGCCCCCTGCCGACAGGAGTGGCGCTGGCCCGCAGCCGCGGCGCACAAGCGGCGCCACGGGGCCGCGCTTTGCCAGCGAAGAGGCGCTCGCCTGCGACGCTCGTGGCGGGTACGACGAGGAGGAGGAGGTAGATATCGAGGCGCTGGTGGAGAGCGTCCTGCGCGGGGAGCCGGACTCCGCGGACGCCGCCGCGCTTCGCCGCCGCCGCAGTGGAGAAGGGACGAAGAGGAAGAGCAACTCCCGCCGTTAGACTTTCGAGGGAGGGCGTAGTAGTCCTCAGCCGACGCGTTCCACGTCGCTGCG